AACTTTATTTGAAAAATAATTATCCTATCTACTAAGACGGTCTATAGAAATTCTACGGTCCTTCTTTGAAGTGCAACTCATATTTTAAATTCTTTATTTTTGTTTGAGGTTTTAACAGAACTGTTTATTACATCTTCCAACTCGAGACTATGTTACGATTTTTCTCTTGGTCTGTTCTCCGACCATCTTCAGTTTAAGGAATTTATTGGCACTTTTTATGAGGAAAATAAATATGAGGGCAACGGGGAAAAAATAAATGAAAAGAAACCTATTTTTAAGTTTTTGGATGAAATATTTTTATTATTATTACAGGTTTCATCACTTTAATCCGATAACATAGGGATTGCCCGCCCCCACCCCTTGCAAGACAAAGGAATCTGAAGCTTTTTTCTCGTTTATGCCCTTAAAGAATTAATGGATTCTGTCAATTGGTTTAATTTTTCATGGCATTACATGATAAATTTTAATAGTTTATCGATTTACGTAAATATTCTAATAGTCGGCAAACGACATATTTTAAATATGATTCTTATAAAATATTTTATAACAAATGAAAATTATGTTCGTTTTCATGATTGACTCTATTTATAAAATACAGAAAAAAATAATTGTCAAGAAATGCTTAACTTCATGATTAAATAAAAATCGAAAATTGGCGAATTTCATTTTCTTCGAATCGGTTTCAAACAATATTTCAACAATTTATTCATTCGCTTTATAAACTGAATTGAATATTAAAAATGAATGGAAAACGAATCACTAGGGCAACTCGAGATGTTGTAATAGTTAGCAAGCTTGTCTCGCTAGAACAATTACGACTGAGTAGTGAGTTCGATCTCACTGGGTGCTCCTTACTTTCGGCTTTGTGCCACATCTGAGCTACGCTTGGAAGATTGTATTATTGTGTAAATACATTTTATTTCTTATATTTAATTTCTGCGTTTGTCATTCATTGGAGACCGAATTTCATCTCGGAATCCACAACATTTTCCATGTTAAAAAAATAATTACCAATGTGCCGTACAGAATGACAATGCAAATTAGCACTCATTAAAATAAACTAAGGAAAACATCAGATTTTACTGCCTTCTCTTAACTCAATCGGATTAAAACCTGCTGATTTTTTTCAAATCATCGGAATATTTTTCATTTTTTGAAAAAAGAAAGCCAAATTCTGCAATAAAAGAAGTTTTTGGTTCCAAATCTATAATTTTCTAGCAAGAAATAAAATGAGTTTCACGATGAATGTTCTTTTATTAATGATTCTGTTCCTGACATAGAAATTTACCGTTTATTTTAATTTCAACTGTGTTGTTCCCTTTGCAAAATTAAAATATTTCCCAAACTATCAAAAATTGATAGTTGTAAATTATGAAACAGCATTTAACAAGTAAGCATCAACTCCATTGATTCAGTAGGTGTGTGGTTTTACGAGTGAGCACGTCGACAAGATTGCCTCACTAATATAGCATGATATTTTTTTACCGATCCACCATCTCTAGACTGGTTGTTAACGAAGGCAAAAGAGCCCAATGGACGCTTGTATCCGAGTATGCCAGTCTACTAGCCAATCCCTGTTGCAGATACCTGCTCAGGCATATTTTTGTTCAATGACCAAAGAGCCCACCTGTTGTTTATACTGCAACTATGCTGAACGGGCGTCGGTTGCAGTTTCTGGGAGAGAGTGAATTATCTGGCTTGATGAACAGTCTGAACAAGGCCAGCACTCTCAAGCCTTCTAGCACAATCGACGACTCTCAAATAGTTTCGTCTACTCAATTTCACTTACAAGGCTTAGGTCGACTTGTGGTATGATTTTCAGGCACTTTCCAAACGTGTTTCACGTTGCTATCGCGTAACATCAAAAAGTCACCTCTCTGACAATAGTGAGATACGGACCCGGGTCTCATGGTCGGAAAATGAACTTACTGACCATTCGGCCGCGCTCACAATATGTAATGCTTTTAAAATACACATTCATGCATTTCCCTAGGGAATTTGTTCGAAATGAATGCAATGAACTCTCGTCTCTTTTTCTTCTCGAGCAGCTAACTTCGCAGCCTTGGCATCATTTAACAACTTTGTAAATGATGAGAGAAATATGATTATTATGCAAAAATACTACAAAAGAAAGTCATATTTACCTGGCACTGGGATACTTCTCTGGCACAGCTGGTATTACGGCTATGACTGGCTTGGACGAGATCTGACCGGCTTGGACAGGCTATGACTAGCTAAGACCAGCTATGACTACCTTAGACGGGCTCTGACAAGCTTTGGCAAGCTATGACCAGTTATGACTAGCTTAAACGAGCTCTGACCAGCTTGGACAAACTTTAACCAGCTAAGACCAGCTATAGACGAGCTCTGACCATCTAAGACCAATTATGACGATTAAAAGAGCTCTGACCAGCTTGGACAAACTTTAACCAGCTAAGACCAGCTATAGACGAACTCTGACCATCTAAGACCAACTATGACGATTAAAAGAGCTCTGACCAGCTTGGACAAGTTATGACCAGCTAAGACCATCTATGACTAGCTTAGACGATCTCTGACCAGCCTCGACAAGCTAAAACCATCTATGAGTAGCTTAGACGAGCTATGACCAGCTTGAACAAGCTATGACCAGCTAAGACCAGTTTAGACCGGCGGCCCGAGTGAAAACACTCGTGTCCCCACGTTAAAAGCCGACCTTATGTCACAACCTGACTCAGTGGCATGTTAAATCTCTACTACAAGAGGAAACAGACAAAATGTGAAAGATGAAGCTACTGGCAGGAATAATGTGTGAAATAAGAGAAAAATTCATCTTAGAACATTAAAGTGCACGAAAAAGAACATAATGCTATGATCAAAACAAAAAAAAATGAAACAAGATTGAATAAAATATTGAATAATTACAATACTTAATTCCTAGACATCAAACAATATTTTAAAATCTTTCTTGTTTCTTGCTGATTTTGTTCTCAATAGTCTGTACGTTGACGTCATACCTTCTTGTCACGGCCTGGCAACAATGAAAGGAAGGAAGAGAGGTTTTAAGTGGTTATTCTAACCCTTTCATCTCTCGTGGTAAAGTAAAATCATAAACATTTCAGAGGCGAATTGTTGACGAGGTTTTCCAGCTAATTCCTAATCTCAAATAAAAATTTAAAAAAAAAAACGAAAATACACTGAACTTTTTCTCAGCTAATTTAATTAAAAATATTTTTTTTATTTAAAAGATTACAGCGAATTAGTGCGACGTTTGGAGAAAGAAAAATCTACACTAAATCGATCAGTTTTTGTTCATGCATTCAGCCATGTGGGTTATTAAAGATCTTTCGGCCCGACCAAGAAGAGATTGTTTTTAAATTCTAATGTTTGGCCATTTGGTCATATTTTATGACGTTGCTCGAAACATGAATTATATTAATTCTGACTCTTTATTCTAAAGAGTAAACAATCTTTGTCCATATCACCAATGAAAAGAGGAAGAAGAAATTAATAGACTGTAGCAAAAGAGTCGAATTCAACAGTGTAAGGGACGCAACTCTTTCCGTCTGAAAATGTCCGGCACGCTGCAACGCTAAGCAATGTACACCAAACACGGGTGTAATGCCCCTCTGCCAATTTCTCCAAGCGACCTGCTTTTATGGAGCTCAGACACACCTCATTAGCATGTGTGTAACGCGACTTTGCGTGACTGCACGAGACCGTGAATATTAAAAGTCACGGAGGCCATCTTGGATCTTTTCTTTCTTTTCTCAACCCACAGGCCAGACAGACGCGAGGTCGTTTGGGAGGTAAACCATTTCTATTTTCCCCACATAGACCTGCTTATCTGTAAAAGAAGAAGATAGACAGTTTTCTTATATAGGCAACAATACCTTACATGGAAAGACGATTACAAATTAGCACACGAGATCTGCGGATGATAAGAGCTTATGTACTTTCATCAAGCTAACTTAACTACCTCAGGTTGACTGGCAAACATTTCTAGTAGCTGCCGTTTAGTCAAGTCTTGAGTACCTTCTCACATATTTCTTCTTTTCATGTGCCGTGTCCCTTCAGGACGTAGGCGATCACAGCTCTCCACTTCCCTCTATCCCTTGTAGCTCTCAATAAATTTTCCCGTTGCTACTTCCCCAGACCTCGTTTTGTCATCCACTTGTTTAAGCCTGCTAGGTATGACATGTGTTGCTTTCACATGTCTATCTTTCCCGCTATTCAACCTGTGAGTATCAGATTCTCCAAGCCCTCCTTTCTCATTACGTGTCCCAGAAATTTCAGCTGCCTCTTTCTGATGTTAAGTATAAGCTTCCTCCTCGTTTGCATCCTCTCCAAAACCTCATCATTGCTCACACGCTTGGTCCATGTTATCCTTAGCATCCTTCTGTAGAACCATAACTCCGTTGCCTCGGGTCTCTTCTTCATCTTTGAGGCGACCGTCCAACATTCGACGCTGTAAAGGAGAACAGATGTCACACAGCAGCTCAATAATCTTTTCTTTGTTACCAAAGAAACCCCTCCTGTCTTGTAATACTCTGCCTACCTTTTGGAATATGTCTTTGGCCATCCCAATACGTCTTCGGATCTCAGATCTTCGCATTTACTGTCCTCTGTCAAATACCGAAGTGTTTTCACAAAGGTTAAGAGAGTGTTATCATTTGAAAACAAATCACAGCAAACTCTTTTTTCTTCACAGATAATGAGCAGAATGATAACATCGTATCATCTTCAAAGATCTGGTCATTAGATTGATTCCTTTTTCTACGGTTTAATAACTTTTTAAAGCAAGAAAATATTTTTATATGGTAATAATCTTATTTTTATTTTGGATATAATAATGATTCAGGGATACAAGTCTTGCTAATTAATCCATAGCTAGGGAGAGAATAGGTAGAGTGATACCTTTCCCAAATACGCGTAAGTGAATTTGACAAACCCATATGAAATTGGAACTCTCCGATTAACAATTCCGAAGCATTATTCGTTACACCAGCCGCACATCCAAGCTTACAGCACCAGGTATTCCCAAGCGGCCGCTCATAGAAGTATTGACCAGGCTCGACGTTACTTAACTTCACTGATTAAACGGGAACTGATGTTTTCAACGAGATATGGCCGTAAACCTGGCCATTAGAGTCAAAGAGAGGATACAAGAGACAATATCAAACCACCACAATATAACGTGATTTTCTCTATATATTTATGGAGGTTGAAAGGAAAAGAATAAAGTGTAGAAGTAAATATTTTTTCAGTGTAATGATAAAAGATTTACATACACACACAAACATATATATATATATATATATATATATATATATATATATATATATATATATATATATATATATATAATCTTATAAATATAAGTAGTTATACGCGTCTGGAAAAACCTTATAATAAATAAAAAAAACTCCAAAACGAGTAAAGCAAAAATAACTATAATAAAGGAGACGCCGTACACTGACGATCCGCGTAGGTGAAACCTAGGTAGGTTTGCCTGTCTCTTTATGCTCATAGTCATATATATATATATATATATATATATATATATATATATATATATATATATATATATATATATATATATAAGTAGCGGCCATAATATAAGGAACGGAAACAGCAAAGACATAAATATGTGTATTACTTAAAAAGTAATGCATGATTAGCAATGAAAGTTTTACCGAATAAAGATTAGGGTGTAATACATAAATATTATACAAAGTTACAAAAATTTACATAATAGTTTTTTTTTAAATAAAGATTAAATGGAACAAAGGAAATAAGCTACTGGACAAAAGTTAAGGGACGATGTTAATAATTTGCATAAACTTTTAATTTACATTGTTAAAAACTCAATGGAGCTTTTCAACAATAAGTAAAAGTTTATTTATCATTTGAAGAATAAACTCATTATCGCTAAATATCAGGAAAAAAGTCCATTTCCGAAATTTCTGATATTGTTCATCGGTCTAAAAGTGTCGTTCATCGTGTAATTAGCAGGTATAAAACCGATAAAACGTTAGATACAAAACCAAAAACCGGCAGACCTCCAAAAACATCACAAAGAGAAGATCGAAGAATTGTTAGAATATCTACAAAAAACCGTTTTGAATCTGCCAGCCCAGAGCCCCGACCTGAATCCAATAGAAAATGTTTGGAAGATAATTGGAGAAAGGGCTCAGAAAAGAAACCTGAAAAACCAGGATCACCTATGGGAGTTATTGAAAGACGAATGGGGGGGGGAATTACTGCTGATTTTTGCAAGAAATTAATTAGATCATGTTGTCGACGATGCAGAGAAGTCATTGAAAATAAGGGGATGTTTACCAAATATTAAATTTTGTTGATATTTTGTTCAAAATCAAGTATTTAAAAGACCATTCCTTAACTTTTGTCCAGTAGCTTATTTCCTTTGTTCCATTTAATCTTTATTTTAAAAAAAAACTATTATGTAAATTTTTGTGTAAATATAAGAAGTGTAGACACTGATGTCACACTCTTCAGATTATGTTTCATGCTTGAACGTAATTTTCGGGCCATGAAGAATGAAAACTGCGGTCAAGTATCAAACAGACTATCGCCTCTCGGTATTGGCATCATTATCCACAGTTCTTACACACACTCACTCACACGCACATTACACACACACACACACACACATATATATATATATATATATATATATATATACGTGTGTGTGTGTGTGTGTGTGTGTATCATACTTACTCACTCCCTAAGAACCAAATAACACACACACAAACACTAAACAGAGACACATCCCCTCACCAGGTCCAATAAAACTGTCAAACTGAACAGAGAATTCAGGATAAAATGTATCTATCCAGTTCTTATCTCAAATAACAACTTAAAAGAGACTGTTTGACCAACACAAGGAATGTTAAAAGATTCATGTGAAAAAGATAAAAAAAAAAAAACAAATGAAAACTACAGACAAAAGTTCATTTTCTCCAACAAAAGACATTCATTTCTGTAGTTCCTTGCCAACAGCAAGCAGAAATATTTCGCCTCCTGATGATGGCCATTTCGGTCGAAACTAGTCGAGCAATCTAAATGGAATAATAATAATAATAAAAAATGAAAGAATATTAATCTACAACCCAGTGTGTCTAATGATTTTTATTTTTTAATTTTAATTTTCTTATTGTTCAAAATATATATATATATATATATATATATATATATATATATATATATATTATTAAAAAAGCACAAAATATCAATGCTGCTCCAAAAGAAGAACTTGACAGGGACACTCATCAAGAAGGGTATTTCCTCTTCGGGAACTTTGGTTGGTGAGTACATTATGTATGTATTCACAAACAATCCTTATTATAGCATCTCTGGTTAGTCGAAGCGAGGATAAAATGTCCAATCCACTGAACGCTTAATGTCGACTGCCTGATGAATGCGTGGCCATCACGCACGGACCTGATAGTTGTAGTTGATCAGACCTGCATCGGGAAATTATCACACACACACACACATATATATTCACCTACGAATTTTAAATTCGCAGGATTTTTCAAATTGTTTATGGTGTCAGTTTATAGAAGAGGACTGGTTAGTTGGAGAAAGAAAGAGAGAGAGAGAACGTCAGAGAAGACAGAGAGAAGGAATTGACAGAAAATGGCATAGTTACAGGAAGTAACGTGGGGTATTACATTATGGAGTCATATTAATATGAATCAGTTTTTACATTAAATATTTAATATTCAAAATTCAATATTGTGTTCATAGGACTCGCTTGGATTATACCAACGGATTACTATATATATATATATATATATATATATATATATATATATATATATATATATATATATATATATATATATATATAATGTGTGTGTGTGTGTGTGTGTGTTGTGGGTGGGTGTGGGAGAGAGAGAGGACGAGTGAGTGATAGAGAAAGAGAGAGAGCATTCGATAGCAGCTTTATAGACACTGGGCAAAGCCTTGATATGTGCAGATAGGAAATCTTTTTATCGTCAAGATAACTTTAAGCCTTCACTAAATTCAGCATAACACAATTTTAGACAACAGAAGGGCCGTGTTACCTCAATCTTCTAAATTAAGAATTTGCCTAGCCGTTTGAAAAATCAGCTTCCGAAACAAAATAACTGCTATGATGAACGTCCCTGATTTTATACGTTTTAGTCAACAAAACAAAACGTCCAACATTTCCAATTGGAGTTTTTTCATTTTTTTTACTTTTAAGAAAGCCAAATTAAATTCTTGGATTATTTTTTAATGTCACTCATAAAAAGATAACCAATTTCCAAATGTAATATAATTAAAAATTACTAAAGCGTTAAGCGACTTTCCCCTTAAATTCTGGTTTTAAGTTGCAAATAATGTTGTTAAACTGGAACATCGTTAAGTTGGGGTTTGACAAAAGAATGAGAAGAGCAAATCCAGAAGAAAAAGCAAATTAAGACGTAATTCAATTAATGCGGTAAAAGCTAACAAGTCTTCTTTCCTTGAAGTGAACAATAACAACAGAACGCGCCTGCCATAGAGCAGTGTTTAAGAAAATCATCTCGCATCACCATTGAGTTTGATCCTGACAAAATGTCCTACAGTTATAAGTCATTTGACAACCTTAACTTCTTAAGTATCAATCTCGCCGATTGCCTAGTATGCTTAATATTTGGTGTGATAACACGTTTCCACATTTTCTTTATTTAAAAACAATATACAATCATGGTAAAAACAAATGGATGAATCTCTGCAAAATCGAGGAACCCATAATACTTTTTGAAAAATGCCTCGCTCATATAATCACTTCATATTCTTATTAAAAAGGTAAAATAAAAGCCAAAAGTAGCTTAAAAATGATGTATATAGCTTACTCAACTCCCAATTAAAATGATTAACTAATGTTTGTTTTTAAAGGAGTTAATCTATGTGCTATTGTAGTGTTTTTAGATATTTTATGGAAAGAAAATTAATTGTTTTTAAAAAATGTTCTCTCTTTGGAAAATTGCAAATGGCTGCCTTAAAAACAAAATGACTCCTAAAACAACATGGTCGCTACTCATACTAATATGGCTTCCATAACAATGTTTTCTTTGTGTTTTGTTCTGTTGAAAACCAAAAAACATATTGCTTTATATAAGTCAAAAGCAAACCTTCACCTGATAGAATTTTCTGTTCACAACCTTGACATAATACTATTTAAATATATGCCATCACTCGGCGCTGCACTGCTGCAGCCCTATGTCAGATTACGTTTAATGAATAGCTAGTTTAGTGCATTTTGTTAGTTTTGCTAACGATTGCTAGTATTTTGTGTTCTATAATCTGATACATTGACGGTAGAAGAAAATTCTTAACTACTTCAGAGACAAGCAAGCTATCTCTGAGTTTAAAAATATTTTTTAAATCACTTAATTTAGGAGAAGGTCAAGTATAGAAAATATAGGTGGTGGAAGATTGTGTCGTCAATCTTCCAAATAGAGAAGGGAAATCAGTGTCTTAAATCCTGTTCTTTCTTGTTTCGTTTTTTCTTTCTTAAATTACCAAACACTAGATCTGGTCGGAATACGCAGATACCCTAACCTATCCCGTACCACTTAACCTCGTGTCATATATTCTTAATCTGTTGTAAACAAACTCACAGTCAAACAAGCGTATTTTATTGTAAACTGTTAAGCAGATAAAGTTATTCCCGTCTGCAATGTTCACTGTAAAGAAATGTTGCAGGAAACTCGAGCAAGCGTACGTTTTTTAATTAGAACATTAATGGAATATAATCACTTCGTTCAATGGCTCCTCTTGTCTGCTACAGGCTTGTTTTTGTCTTTACCGACCGACACGTCTTCTTTCTTCAGACCAGTTGCTGGCAAAGCTGTTCGTCGAATCGGCCGACTGGTTTTCTTGGCAAAATGTTCTCTTCTACGCCATCAGAGGGGAAGTTGGTTTTTATTCGCTTCCGATACCTTCTCGCACATTGCCAAAATGTTGTAAGATTTGTATCGTACAAATTACACAGGCCGTCAAAAGCAATTGGATATTTGGATGAAATGATAAGAGTAAGAACTGGTAGCCGGACTGGCAATGGTAGGATTTAAGCACATCAAAAATTTCTGTTCACAATACATGTTCTAAGAAATTGAGATATGCTTTTAAGTTTTAAGTGAAAACGACATTGATGCCGTTGGAGTAAGTTCTTTATGAGAACGTACAACGGCCGAAACGTTATGAATATGGCAATGAAGATGAAGATAACAGTCCAAATAATGTAAATAATGCAAGTAATCATAATACCCCATCTCAGAGATATGGAGGCCGAAATGTTGTGAATATGGCAATGAAGATGAAGATAACAGTCCGAATAATGCAAATAATGCAAGTAATCTTAATTCCTCATCTCAGAGATATAGAGGCCGAAATGTTGTGAATATGGCAATGAAGATGAAGATAACAGTGCGAATAATGTAAACAAAGCAAGTAATCATAATACCTCATCTCAGAGATATAGACAGTTATATATATATATATATATATACTTATCGCACACAAGATAACACACATGAATACTGTGTGAAGTCACTTACTTTTATTAAAGTTCACACATAGAGAGTTAGCTGAATAAGTTGTGTGATATGAACGTAAAAACGTGTAGAAAGAAGTGAAGATTGTGAGGATAAGGAGGATATATATAAAATGACTATGGCCTTGAAGAGGTTAAGATTGCAATGTTCAGGGACGCATCCACGTGGGCAACGTGTTCCACGAAGTAGCGCTACTCGGGAAGAAGCTGTCCGACTGAAAGTTCCTCGTTACAAATGGAACACGGGAGAAATGTTTGATGATTCAACTCCGCGGACGTATTTTGGAGAGTCCGAGCTATAACTGCCTGAACCTGTGGAACTAAAAAGTGAAGCTGGTCTGAACATTTGCCATGGAAATAGCGATAGACACTTGCGACGTTGCATGTTTCAGGAAAGAAGTCGTAGAATAAAGTCAAACCAACATTCACGCACATTCACGTAAGAGCGCATCGATCAATGCAAATATTTCATTAATACCAAATTGTTTACTGCCATTGAACTGAGTGAACTTTACTTGAAAAATAATTATCCTATCTACTAAGACGGTCTATAGAAATTCTACGGTCCTTCTTTGAAGTGCAACTCATATTTTAAATTCTTTATTTTTGTTTGAGATTTTTACAGAAATGTTTATTACATCTTCCAACTCGAGACTATGTTACGATTTTTCTCTTGGTCTGTTCTCCGACCATCTTCAGTTTAAGGAATTTATTGGCACTTTTTATGAGGAAAATAAATATGAGGACAACGGAAAAAAATCAATGAAAAAAGATTAATTTATTTTTAAGTTTTTGGATGAAATATTTTTATTATTATTACAGGTTTCATCACTTTAATCCGATAACTTAGGGCTTGCTGGCTCCCCTCCCTTCGGGACAAAGGAATCTGAAGCTTTTTTCTCGTTTAGTACCCTTAAAGAATTAATGGATTCTGTCAATTGGCTTAATTTTTCATGGCATTACATGATAAATTTTAATGGTTTATCGGTTTAAGTGAATATTCTAATAGTTTGAAAACGACATATTTTAAATATGATTTTTATAAAATATTTTATACCAAATAAAAATTATTTTCGTTTCATGAGTGAGTCTATTTATAAAATTCAGAAAAAAATAATTCTCAAGAAATGCTTAACTTCATGATTAAATAAAGATCGAAAATTGGCGAATTCAATATTCTTCGAATCGTTTTCAAGCAATATTTCAATTTTTCTACAATTTACTCATTCAGTTTATAAACCGAATTGAATATAAGAAATGAATGGAAAATGAATCAAAGAATTCTATTGGTGCTAGATTCAAGACGAACCGGACAATGCGGCCAAATGATTCTGAAGTTTACATGCCGTTCATACTGCAGTACATTCTTTCTTTTTATATGTCCTAGGCTATCATGGCTGCCATAGCACTTCCCTCTATCCCTTGTAGCTCTCAATAAGTTTTGTCCCTTTTCTACTCCCCCCAAGTATGTTTAAGCCCGCCAGGTATGTCATGCGTTGCTTTCCCTTGTCTCCCCTTCCCTATATTCGACCTGTGAGTATCATATTCTCCAAGCCCTCCTTACGTGTTCCAGAAATTTCAGATGCTTCTTCCTGATGTTAAGTATAAGCTTCCTCCTTGTTTGCATTCTCGACAAAATCTCATCGTTGCTCACACGTTCGGTTCATGATATCCTTAGCATCCTTCTGTAGAACCATACTTCAGCTGCCTCTTCTTCATCTTCGAGGAGACCGTCCAACATTCGCTGCCGTAAATGATGACATATGTCACGTTGCAGCTCGGTACTCTTTTCATTGTTACCAAAGAAATCCTCCTGCCTCTTAATAATCTGCCTAGCTTTTGGAATGCGTCTTTGGCCATTCCAATCCATCTTCGAATCTCAGCGTTTCACTTACCATCCTTTGTTAAAACACTTCCCAGATATTTAAATTTCTGCATCTGCTTGATTTTTTGCATGGCCTTTCTGTCAGATTAAGTAAATGACTTTGATAACCTAAGTATGAATCATTGTTTAGTAACCATACTTGCAAATGATTAATACTTTTGTGCGTTCGATTTTTAATGAGGGTCTCATTACTGTGGCTTTGCCTCTGGATAGATGAAAATTTCTCCCTAACTTTGGAGCAATGATTATCAAGGTAGTCTCGCAAATTGTCATTACATCCTCACCGTTTTTGAGCCAGACTAAGCTTATTAACTAGTACGATACTAGTACACAGTACTGATCGAACATGCAATCTATAGGTTACTAAATGTCTTGTCTGACACTAAGCCATTAGTTATGTTTGTAAATCAAAGTGAATGATAAAAGTAAATCAAACTATATAGATGATTGTCATGGATTTGGGCAACATATAAACTGACCAGCATCCGGAGCTTGTCAACAATTGATTATTGTTTTTCTGTGGGTTTTAATTAAATTCTAAGTGAATAAGCCTTGAATAAATCTGCTTAGACGAAGAACTGATCGAAAATTTAAGAAGAGAACAAAAAAAAAACAGGTAATAAATCTCATTCAATTCATTGTAAATCTGGTTTCATCATGTCAATCCCTACGGAGATACATTACTTTCAATTGATCAGCAAAAAAAAGAAAACTTGTGGCTCTTGTTAGAAGAATGTCATATGATTACTTCGTTTGGTTTTTAGTCTTTCTCTCTCTCTGCCTCTACCCTCTTTCTCTCTCTCTCTCTCTCTCTGTCTCTCTCTCTCGCTATATATATATATATATATATATATATATGAAAAGATAGTTTTAAGGTGTGCTACTTTTATGGGATAAAGTGCTCAATAGCAGAGATAGACCGTATGTAAATATAAAAGTGAACATTGAAGTCAACACTCAGAGGCGACAGACTGTTTCCTACTAAACGCAATAGCCGGGCCACGAAGTAGCGCTTCTCGGAAAAAAGCTGTCTCTCTCTCTCTCTCTCTCTCTATATATATATATATATATATATATATATATATATATATATTTAAGCATTTCACCCCAAGCAAGGCGGGAAGCCACTAGGATGCAAGAGGTTAGAGCAAGATCAGGTAGGAGTGATAGAAGAAAGGATGAGGGTAGTGGATAGATCAAGGCAACTGGAGATGTCGATTGACATTACACTTGAATAGCTGGAGATTATAGCTCACGGGGAAACAGGAAAAGGGAAGGGAGTTCCACAGGCGAGAGGTGCGAGACATGAAGCTATTAGAGTAGAAGAGACGGCTATATTTAGGAGTTTCGACAGTGAAGGGGTGAGAGCGGGATACCAGCCTCGTGAGGCGCTGGAACTCGTGACGTCTGGGAACCAGCGAATGCAGCTCCTCGGAGCAATTTCCATGGAAGTATTTGTAGAACAGACAGAGGGAGGCGATGGCGCGTCTGTGAGAAAGTGACTGTAGACGAGACGCCAGGACAGGGCCAACCATATTGCATATCCGCCTCTGGAGTCTATCAAGAACCCCGAGGCAGACAGAAGGGCACCAGACCATATATATATATATATATATATATATATATATATATATATATATATATATATATATATATATACACAGGTAAGCGATCTGTTGGTATATAATCCGGGTGGATCCTAGTAAAATTAATTATTAAACTGATCCACAGAGAGCTAGATGTATTTATCATGACAGAGCAAAATTAGGGGCTGATGATAGCTGTGTACAGACCAGCTTAAAATAGACTATCCCCATGTTGAGATAATTTTTTTTTTTTTTTTTTTTTTTTTGCTATACGTATATATATATATATATATATATAATTTTAAAATGTCAAAAAATCTTACGCTACGCGTTTCGTCCTTCGAAATGACTTCTTCGGACTAATTTTGGTTTTATTAATGGAATGTCATATATGAGTAGGCGAGAACGAAATACAAAAACACCGATTGCAAATCTCTGTCGAGAAACAGCAATGACACAGGAGTGATTTTGAAGGACAAAAGCAAAACGTACGAGTTTTTTTAAGATTCAATTTTGTCATTCAGTTACCCACTAGTAGCCTTATATATATGTATATAGTTTTGTATTATATCTTACACACACGCATATACACTAATATATCATGTAAGAATATATACGACATCTGGTGATATTTCATCAGCTCAACAAATTAACTACCGAATAAGAGACCCAGCACCAATCCACTTGTCTCTTCAACATCATATATTTTAAAACAATTGCTTCAACAATATTTCTAAGACAAAAAAAAACTTATAAAAACAGCCTTTACGTACATTTTCTAAATTAAGGTAAATTTTATGAAAAACTTTCTGTCTCCAGGTTCATAGAATTCGTCAGTCGTTTGGCGATGCCGACCGCTTTCATTTGTGTTCATACCATATATATATATATATATATATATATATATATATATATATATATATATATATACGAGGTGTATGAAAAATACTTTTACAAATTTTGGAGGCAGTTCCCGTTCCTCACAACAAAACGACAAAACTCCATATGAAAGATACATAGGTAGGGAAAGATCGGTTTCATGCCCTGCACGTCCCGACCTCAATCCTTTGGATTTTTATCTGTTGGACCACCTAAAAGAGTTGGTTTATGAAGAGACGCTTCATCAATGTTTCATGCGGAAGAAGAAACTTTTACGACACATAAAAAATATCATTAAAAAAATCTCCTTTTTTTTACTTTTCAGGCACGAAATTTTATTTTATTTGTCAGATTTTTCGGGGATTTTTTTTTTTTTTTTTTGCGCATTATTTCGCTCATTCATTTCAAACTTCACACATTGCACAGTAATCAAGACAAGTGAAGCTTCCGAGCCGCATGACTACTCGAGGGAAACGTATGTAAACAAAGCTAGTAATGGCGGACGTTCTGAGTACGCGACGAGAAAGAAGTGGAATTTACATTGTCTATAACTCCTAAACGGTAATCGAGCGCAATGTTTTAATGTCATTTTCGAAGTAACCAGGCAATTTCACACCAGAATGGTACATTCCCAATACCGGGAACGTTTGGTGCTTATACTGCAAATTAACCTCAGGATTGATTATTGGTGGCTACGATCTTAACAACATAAGATATGCAGATGATGCAGTGTTGATAAAAGGCACAGAAAGGAAACTACGTGAAATCCTTCAGAAGGCGGTGAAAGAAAGAGAGAAGACAAGACTAAACACCAATTGTATCTGAAAACAGAATGGATGATTGTCAACAAGAGGAACAGACCAAGATGCGAACTAATGAGTGGAGACAACAAAATTGTTATATAGGAATATAGTGTCGCTGCCGACACTTGAGTTTAAACATAGATCGCCGGTTAGTAAAGACAGGCGATCCCATTATTGAATTAAGTAGACCACATCACCATACAGATATATAGGACCTAGCTGACGACTAACGATCGTCATTTCTAGTCTATCCTCTATTACTATTCGGATCTCTTTTTCTAGTCTATCCTCTATTATTATACGGACCGCTATTCTCTACTCTATCCACTATACTATTTCTCTATTCGGATCACTATTCTGATTAATATTCGAGCGAGTATTATCGAGCAAGTATTATTAGTGCGAGTGATATTCGAAGGCGTCTGACACCAGTATTGTTCAACGGTGTTAATATATATTAATGTATCTGCGATTACAAAGTCTCTAATAAAACGAACATTACGAAAGAGACAACGAGTATTCGTTGACATCACAAAATTGTCAAACGAATGTTCGTTGACATCACAAAAAATTCTATTTAGATATCTAGGAAGTGTTTTAACATAGGACGGAAATGTGACAACGAAATCTGAAGTAGTAATGAAATAGCGAAAGATGCCTTCGAAAAGCTTAGTAAAATATTAAGAAACAAGAAAACTTTGTTGGAAACAAAGAAAAGAGTACTGAACTGTTATGCAATATTGGTCCTCCTATATGGCAATGAACGCTGGACAATCTCCTTATATATGAAGAAGAGATTTGAGGCAACAGAAATGTGGTTCTACAGAAGGATACTGAGAATATCATGAACCGAACATGTGAATAATGTTGAAGTCTCAGAGAAAATTAAAAACAAAAAGGTCACATATTTACAATCAGAAAGAGACAATTGAAATTTAGGGAATTTAACAAACACAGGACTTACTAAAAGTAAGAAAGAGGAGGGCGAAAAACATGCCTATCGAATTTAAATGGTCGACAGTACAAGGATTAGGGGGGAAAAAGTCAAACCTTATTAAGAGTCATAAAAGGACTGGATGTTGTGGAGAGAAAAAGAGAGCCATGATCGCCCACGTCCTGAAGGGACAGGGCCCACAGAAAGAGAAGATTTACAAGTAAAAAATTTTACTTTGAGTATCGACTTCTATTATTATCTTTGTTTCCAACAGTTTTTTATGGTTTGGACTCACATGTGAAGCTGACCTTGTGTAACGAAGCTGCAACCTCATTTTATTCAACGGAAAGTTTTATGCGCCTTTTTATTGGAGTCTATTTTCGATACAGAATTTATATAGCCTTATCTCCAAGGCGAAAGACCGGCGAAACATACGATGGACACCTTACACGTTTGGATCGTAAAAGTTCTTTATCGATTTTCATATCAGATTGTCTCTTAATCGAAATGTCCAAAGACTTGTGCAGTTTTTTGCAACCGGATATTTTTATCCTCTTTCTTTTTGTAACGATTTACACACACACACATCCTCTCTCTCTCTCTCACACACACGCACATCCTCTTTCTCTCTCTCACACACACACATACGCAATCACACTCTCTCTCTCACACACACACACTATCTCTCTCTTTCTCTCTGCATTTTGAGAGATAGATATAAGCATAGAAATGTATGATCGAAATGAGATAGATAGATAGATAGATAGATAGATAGATAGATAGACAGACATACATACAGACATACAGACATACAAGCTAAAGTCTGTCGTGGCACGTACACAGGGTCGAATCATCTTCGTTCCTTTTTGCATTGGTAAGGAAGATAGATAGATAGATAGATAGATAGATAGATAGATAGATAGATATTCGTCTTATTAATATGAAAATCGGTATTTCAAATGGTTTCATTAAGATTAAAATATCAATAGTTGTTGTTTTTTTTTAATTCAGGCTCCTTTGTGCAAAGAAATCCTTTTTAGGAACTACAAAGGAACAAGCCATCAGAAAGAGACATCTTGAGAAAAGAAGGCTTGGAAAATTTTAAAATTCAGACCGATTTGAAATCTTATGAAATCGTAATTTGATGAAGGAACAAGTATCACAAAAACCCAAAAGGAGTGATAAAGACGAATGGGCGTTACGGAGAGCCACGGACGTTTATGTTGTGAAAGGAAATGGCACATAGAAAGAGAGACAGTGTTTCTTTACTTTGCTTACATTACCTAACATAAGACTAAAACAAGGGTTAACTAGTAACGATCGGATTTGCTATACGCGGAAATTGCTACACGGAAGGAATTAGGTAGTCCTCCGGCTATTAGCGGCATCCAGTAATTGCTTAAACTTCTCCTCGTGTTACAGCTTTCTGGTGTTCTTGAAGCCTTACCTTAAGGGGGGGGCAGCCTGTCTGCCCTTTATTTTCCTTTCCGCAGCTGCACGGGATAGCTTGACGACACTTCGCAGATATCTCTCCCTAGTAAGACCCCCCCATAGAGGAGAACATGACTAAAGACTGCGTGTACCCTATCCCGTGCAGCTGTGGAAAGAAATATAAAGGGGAGACAGGCCGCCCCCTTAAGGTAAGGCTTCAAGAACACCAGAAAGCTGTAACACGAGGGGAAATAGAAAAATCAGGCGTGGCTGACCACATATGGAGATAAAAGGGAGATCACCGCCCCCTGTGGGATCAAGTTGAGATCATAGACAAAGAACACCATTGGAAAATTCGTAGACTTAAGGAATCAGCACATATACTTGGCCATAAAAATCCCCTGAGCCGACCAAGCATAGAAATGAATACAATATGGGAACCAGTAATAAGTAATGCCAGAGAAAACCATAATAACAACAAAAATTGCAATATGAGTTCTGGTAAAAAAATATACAATAATAACAGCAAAAATTGCAATATGAACACTGATAAAATGGTTGCTGAAGCCATTAGGTTTATAATACCCAGAAATTCATACACAGATGTCCTCAAGTGGATAAAGACGTTGGTTAGATCCAGTGTCAGGACCCAAAGAGTGTTAGCTCAATACCCGGTTAAGGCAGTGGAGAACTTTCAGAGGGGAATTAACTGGAGATAACTGATAATTGACATCCATTAAACATGGCACGTGGAACTAGAACAGTCTACCCCAGTGAGCGAAATAAAGGGTTCAGTTTGACATTCCAACCACCTGAAGAAGGCCGGAGCATACAACGGCCGAAACATTGTAATATATATGGCGACAAAGATGAGGACAATAGTCCGAATAATGTAAATAATGTTTGTCGAATAAAAACGTCAGGAACTTTTCCATATATCCAATCCTCTGATAGAAGTCATGTTAAACCAATGATGGTCAAACTCTTTAGGTTTGGTTTGGTTTGGTTTGGTTTGTTCTACAGCATATCAACACGTCAGTGAGTAATAACCCATTGAGGTGTTTAATGGTGACAAGATTTTTATTGTTAGTAATATTTTTTTCAAAAACGTATTGCTGGCAATACTTTCACTTCAAAAATGCACTGTTGGTAATATTTTTTTCTTAAAAAATGTATTGCTGGAAATAATGTATTGACGGTAATAATTTTTCCTCAAAAAATGTGTTGGTAGTATTAAAACTTATTTTTACACTTTCATAGTGTTTTGACACCAGTTTGGGGGTTAACTATTTGCCCATAGTTGGGATCCTAACAGGTTTCTACCATCCCGGGTCAGGGTAAACCTGAGAACATTAACAATTAAGAGGTGGTTCCATGCTCCTCAAAGCCTCCTGATCAGAGGTCTTGCTGTTGGATGCAGTTTATCGTCTTACCCAGGACACGGATGTAGTTTATCGTCATACCCAGGATGCGTTAAATTTGGTTTATGAGACTGGCTTATTGGTGATTATAATAAACATACAGTTATTAGGAAAATATAGCTTAAGCCAACACATTGGACACACACACTGTATACATAATAAAAGCTGAGCTCATTATCAACATGTTCCACCTTTCTTTTTAATATGCCGTGTCCCCTCAGGGCGTAGGCGATCATGGTTCACTTCCCCTATCCTTTCTAGCTCTCAACGTCTTGTCCCTGTGCCACCTCCCCCAGACCACGTTCTATCATCCACTTGCTTAAGCCCACCAGGTATGTCATGTGTTGCTTTCCCTTGACTCTCTTTCCCTCTATTCGACCTGTGAGTATCAGATTCTCCAGGCCCTACTTTCTCGTTACGTGTCCCAGAAACTTCAGCTGCCACTTCCTGATGTTAAGTATAAGCTTCCTCCTCGTGTGCATCGCCTCCAAAATCTCATCGTTGCTCATAGGCTAGGTCCATGATATCCTTAGCGTCCTTCTGTAGAACCATACCTCCGTTGCCTCGAGTGTCCTTTTCATCTTTGAGGAGACCGTCAAACATTCGCTGCCGTGAAAGAAGACAGATGTCACGTAGCAGCTCAGCACTCTTTTTTTTAGTTAACCAAAGAAATCCTCTTGTCTCGCAATACTCTGCCCAGCTTTTGTAATGAGTCCGTGGCTACCCCAATACGTCTTCGGATCTCAGCATGGCACTTAGTGTTCCAAAAAGTCGGAATCAAGATAAACTTTTCCAAAACAGAAGCTACGATCTAGAATTGAAATGAAAGCAGTGATGGCAACAGGATCCATCATAAAAAAAATACAAGAGGATGGAATTAGTAAATACTAAATACTTTAAATATCTTGGTATATGGATCAGTTATAACAAATTTAGCTTTAGAAAAATCTATGAAAAACATGGAAAATAACTTTTCGCGTGACGCGTTTCGTCTTTTAGGATTTCATCGGACATATACCAACAAATGAGAGTCGATGCTGACATTTAAAATTGAATTTTTCTTTTTAATTTTTGATATACAGTCTACGCAATTTCCTTTAGTTTCTTTTTTATTATGCTTTCATCACTTTTCTTATTAAATATCCCACATTTTGATAATAGAAGATCTAAGAAATGTAAAAATCTAGACGTAAAACGACTGCTGATCATCTCGCGATTAAAGCACTTTCTATATATTTTTCGTCTTAGTAAATTCATTACCCTTTTAATTAAAGTACCATTTTTATATCAAAATTATCGTCAGACTCACAACAAGAAGCAACTAATGTATTTAATGTGTGTTTTTTTTTTTGTAAAAGATCTCTTTTGTGTTCATATAATCTTTTATTTAAATTCCTTGAAATTTCTCCGGTCTATTCTTTGTGGAATTATTACAGGTGATACTGTAAGTTCCTTCTTTAAATTTTAAACTTAAATTTTTTATAAAAATCAAGTCGTAAATTCAGCTCGAGACTTTCAAGTTTCAACTTGAGAAAACTATTTTCCTGAAAAATTGTTTTAACAGAAAGATTTTATAAATTTTAGCAAACAGTAGCACTGGCTTGTCGGTTAATCAATGCTAAATTTTTCCTTATAAGGAAACGGGTCTTATTGCTATTATACGAACATTTTGGTTCCCGAGATAAACTTTCAAAGTATGACGCTACGGTAGATAACCAAGATATATAGTAAATCCTTGAACCCTGATACCTGACCACTGTCTTTATTGTAAAACAGCATCCAAAAAACATTAAATGGCCAGTACAAAAGTTACTCATAGCCTTAGTCTACTTTCATGTTAGTCTGGTGCTGCTGGTTAAGTTTAGTTTAGTCGGACCCCCTAATGAAAATCAAATTAAGAAATTGAAACAAAATAATCGTGCTAATACTTGCTCCATAAGTAGACGCAAAATATATTATTCTTTTTATTTTCGTTTTTGGGATTAGAGATCATGACACAAGAAAGATTTCATTTAAAAGTTGTTAAACTTTAGAAAATGACACATAATTACACATCATCGATGGTTTCGAAGTTAAAGAAAAAAATAAACCGGGAGATAAAATCAATAATCTCAAAATCGATTTCTCGTCTTTCTTGAAACCAATAAAAATGCCTCAAATGAAAATAGACAGCTGTCATTATCTTTCTTCAGACATCTTCATTTTAAAAGGGTCTCTTTTTTTCTTTTTTCTTGTCGTTCCAAAGCTATTTTGTTTTTCTCTTTTTGTATCTCATCAATGTTCAACAGATAGTTACGTCGATGTCAAATATTGGTGAGTCTCAACACAAACTGGCAACTACGTTTATAATGTAAGTTTACTTATAAAAATCGAAAACAGCCGAAAACGAAATTCTTTCTTTTAATTTTCAAAATATCTTCACACAAATGGCCTCTGGTGGATATCATTAGAAACGATGGAAACGGAAGTTATCTTAATTATCCTTCATTCCTCTATGTATTTTTCTATGAATCGGCCATTTCTTTAGTATTATTTTAAGCGCCACCCCCGTTTACTCGTGTTCTATTAGCGGTACGCTTGTGATCTTCGAGTTTCTACAATTCTAGCAGCTTACAACCAGATCACGTTGAAGTACGGTCACCGAAGTTAAGCAACGTTGAGCCTGGTCAATTCCTAGATGGGTGAACGCTTCGGAATACCAGGTGCTCTAGGCTTGGATGTGTGGGTGGTGTAATAGATGACGGCTCAGAAATGGAATTCGGCTCTCCGAGTTTCAATTCCTGTCGGGTTCATTATATTCGCTTACACGCACATACCTTGGGAAAAATATAAATCCACCACCTCTCCCCAACTATGGGTTGAATAGTGTCATTTGTATCAGTAAATAATTAATATCTCCCAACATTTTTACAATCTAAAAATAACCTGAAAAAGATTGATATTCCGTAAAAAAAACAAATCAATTAATAATTTTAGCAGCTCTTATACTAGTATCTGTCTATATTTCTGAGATGAGGTATTATGTACACTATTTACATTATTCGGACTATTGTCCTCATCTTTACCTGGTTAAGACAGTGGAGAACTTTGAGAGTGGAATTAACAGGAGATAACTGACATCCATTAGACATGGCACGTGGAACTAGAAGAGTCTACCCCAGTGAGCGAAATAAAGGGTTCAGTTCGACATTCCAACCACCTGAAGAAGGCCGGAGCGTACAACGGCCGAAACGTTGTGATAAACATGGCGACAAAGATGAGGACAATAACAATGTAAATAGAGCTCTATTACTAGTTCTTAATTTTTATAGCTCCCTCTGTATCTATCTGTCTGTTTGTATATCTATCTATCTATTTGCTATGCTGTCTATCATTCTATCACTTGTGACAATCTTCTCTTGCCTTCACTGTCAGATAGAAGATTAGTCATTACATAACATTTTAGCACTTTTTCTCCTCACAAATAAAGAAGAGATCTGAAGCAGCAGAAATGTGGTTCTACAGAAGGATGCTAAGAATATTATGGACCGAATATGTGATAAACGAGAGAGTTTTAGAGAAAAGGAAACCAAAAAAAATACTTATACTTAATATCAGAAAGAGACAGTAGAAATTTCTAGGACACATAATGAGGAAAGAGGGTTTGGAAAATTTGATACTCACAGGACAGATGGAAGGCAAGAGGGACAGAGGAAAACAATCTATAACGTACTTGATGAGATTGGGTAAATCGATAGCGGAACAAGGTTTAATAGAAATAACAAAAAGACAAAATTTATTAAGAGATACAAAAAACAGGAAATTGTGGAGAGCCATGATCTTCTACGTCCTAAGGGGACACGGTGCATAGAAGAAGAACAAGATTGAGTAAATGGATAACGGAAAAAGGCTTAGGAGAAATAACAAAAAGATAAAATTTATTATGAGATACAAGAGACAGGAAATTGTGGAGAGCCATGATCGCCTACGTCCTGAAGGGACACGGTACATAGAAAAACAAGAAGAACGAGCTGGAGTAAATAGATAGTGGAACAAGGTTTAGGAGAAATGGCAAAAAGACAAAATTTATTAAGAGCTACAAAGAACAGGAAATTGTGGAGAGCCATGATAGTCAACGTACTGATGGAACACGGCACATAGAAAAAGAAGTGAGAAAAAATGTTATTTTTCAATTTCTAATACATTACTTAGTTTCTAAAAAGCATTTTCTTCGTTTCCTATAAGCGTTCTAGTTTGTGTGTCCCACTTTCTGTCATCTGTTATTACAATGCCCAGCTGTATGAAATTTAATTTTAAAAAAAAACGTTTTAATACTCGTCATCTGTACGACTTTATCAATATTAATATAAAGAAAGACCTTTGAAAAAAATCTACTTATTTCTGGTTGCAGTATCTATTGGAAAACTCCACCCAAATCGCTTTATCACTTATTTTTCATCGATTTCTTCGAACTAATCGATAGCTTCTGCATCTATTTTCGCATCTACTTGTCAGAAAATTCTGTCTTCTGCTGGTTTTTCTCTGGGCGTAACCGACATCATCCAAGGCCTGACCCTCATGAATATATTGCCACTTTTGACAGATATCTCATCAGTTAGCAATTTACAACAAAACAACACACGTGGTGTTGGCATCAATTGGTATATGAAGACAGCAACAATAACCTTTTATACAGTCAAGCACCTTCTCCAGATCAATAGTTAGCAAACACATATTACTCGTGTAACGAGTTCGTTCCTTGTTGGCAGCCTCAAGATTATCTCCCCTTTTTAAACTATGGATTAGAAAGGGGAGATAAATATTGATAGAAAGGGAAATTCATCTTATATTTTATCATTTTATTGCTACTCTTTATTATATAGAAACGATTTGTGTTTACCTGTTTTTATTTTAATGTTGCCTTATTTAATCAGTTATATGTCATGCGTGATACATGCTCAGGCGATAATGTATCTTTCGATACATGACTGACGAGTAGGTTGACATTTCTTTCCGCCATCCAATGCTATAGAACTCTGTCTGTCCTGATATTTTCCTATAGGCTGGGGAGAGAAGAGGATTCATACCTTTCCCAAGGGTATTATCCCGTAAGTGAATGTAATGGATTCGACTGGAATTCGGACTCTCCGATTCCTCAATCTGAGCAACTATCCATTACTCGACTGTGCCTCCTCTTGCTATTAATGTCTAATAAAACAGATGATATAATTGTTTATTCACTTTTGGATTTGATCAGTTAGTGTCAACGTAAAGGTGTGTGGTTTTGAGGGGCTTTTTTCAAACGTTGATATCATTCCTGCTAGGATGTGAGAGACTCGGACTTTTCTTTCTCGAGTGGAGTTATTATCAAACTTACTGTCATGTGGTGCGCACATCCTAAGCTCAGCTGAGTCGAATTCTTGTTTATATGTCTGGGGCAGCCACTAATATCCAATGAAGATGAAAATTTGCACCTGGTGGATAGAAGGACAACCCACGGATGTGCCTGGCTCTTTTGTTTCTCTGGTATGATAGCGAATGAAAAGACAACTTTGCTCTCTCTTAAGGAGAGCACATTATCTATTGAGGAGCAACTCTATTTAGAATAAATGTTCCTTACTAAGATTTAATTCGATTTAGACTTCTGATATTTCTTGGTCTGAATCACATGTTACCCAAGGGTACATGGTCCAGTGGATAAAATCATTGGCTGAAGGTAATCCAATGACTTGACCCAAAGAGTTCAATACAGTAGAGGTGAACAAAACAAAACTTACAGAAGTTAATTAACTGAAACTGAGACATCTAGAAAAAACATGGCCCATGGAACTAGAACAATTTAATTTAACAATTTAGGGTTCGATTCGAAATTTTAACGTATATGACGTACTACTGCCGAAACGTCGTGTATATGACAATAAAGATGAGGACAGCAGTCCGAACAATGTAAATAGTTACAATAAGTACCAGAGCAAAAAGGGCACATCATAGCGTGTTTTGTTGGAATTTTCGAAATTAAGAATAGAGAAATCTTCGGCGTTCACCCCGATAATAATGATCATATTTTTTTCTATGTTTGTTTTTATATTTGTGGAAAAGATAATCCTATCAACACTGAAAGAGGAAAAGAAAATTATTAATTACGGCATAAATTCATAACATACGGGAAATAATGTTAACTCATATTACATACTAGCAGTAGAGGCCGGCGTTGCCCGGGGATATAACAGTAAGAGATAGATCAAGTATCCACCATCATAAAGACTGAAAAATAAAATTGACAAAGATTATTGTTTAAGGTTGACGGACACGCATGTCTTAATTAGTTTTTTTTTTGTTTGTTTTTTTTACGAATTGGTCAAACCCAAACTCAAACAAAAACATTGTTTTCAATCGTTATGAGTCTCTACCGATTAAATAGAATTTTATTATAAATAATTGTCTTGTAAATGGAATTTTTAAAGCATTCTGAATGTAAAAATAAAGAAAAAGTGTGCAAGACAATAAGAAACACTACATGCCAAAAAAAAGTGAAGTTTTGTTGAAATCGGTTGAAAAATGTAGGTAGCCTTTCTGTAATCTTTTAGTTTTACAATTTATGATTTTGACTTATTGAATACAGTAATAAAAATTGCATATTTTGCTTGTGGTGATTCATAATTAGAATTTGATTTGAATATATTTTTTCACTCGTTGTTTCTAGTACAAAAAATATTAACTTTATTTGGGTTTATTAATTATGATCTAACAAATCTTATTCATTTAGTTATCTTTCTGTAATAATAATTTTTTATAAATGATTTTTACTTATTGAAAAAATTGGACAATGTGTATTTAAAGTAGTTTCCCGTTCCGGTTATTATTTTGAGTTAGAATTGTGTATGTTTAGATTTCATTATCTTTCCCTAAAGATAAAAGAATTTATTCCGATGTTTGGATTCGTACAATCAGTAGAGATCTTTAGATTATTGTTTAGGTTTGTCTTTTAGTTTTAGTTTTTTTTTTACGAATTGGTCAAACCCAAACTCAAACAAAAACATTGTTTTCAATCGTTATGAATCTCCTGATTGAATAGAATT